TCAATGAAAGAGAAACTTACTGTTGAAAGTGATTCGCAAGCTTTGCCAGGGCGACTACGACAGTGAAGATCAACTTTATTTTGCTAATGACCGTGCATAGTTAATGCATGCGAGGGCTTCTTGAAGGCAACGTGGCACCAGTATCCGTCAAACTGCAGAACACGTTCAGTCCTCCCACTGTTGAGCTAGGAAGAAATTGTACACGCGAGGAAGGTTCTCAATTCTCACGAGCTGGACGAGGTGGCTCGAAAGACACGTGTGATCATCTCTCAAAGTTTTCTATCTAAAAGTGGTAGTTTCAATCGGCTTGACAAGGGGTCACTGGGTTTGGGAGTGTGCAGTCTGCCCAAACAACCTAGGAGGATCGGTCGGGAACACGCAGCCCAGCAATCACAACGAGCCCAAGAAGTGAAACCCCGCGTGTAGTTTCGGTTGAAAGGTTCCGCCCTCCCCCATTGTAGGATTGCACCATTACAGACTGCAAACGATACCGTGCTGCTGGCTCAGATCCTTCTTGCTTACAACTGGATAGATTGCTTCGGATATCGCTAAGTTGAGGTTTCCCAAACATGAAATTGTTCCATTGCGCAGCATCTTCGCAAAACACATGTAACGAAGGAATGCCAGAATTCTATACAGAAACTTGGCCTCATGATTTTTTCCCCGTTCCGTCCGGGCTGGCACGCGGCAAAGTGCGCGGCGAACTGCGCGACGATTCGGACGAAGCCAATCGTGGGCTTTTGCGGTGGAAATCAACACGCGAAAACGTGGGCATATTGCTGATGAAATTTGCAAGGTTCTGCGATTCAAATTACCTAAGATAGAGAGTAGATTTAGTAGATTTGAGCACAGCAGTGATCGCAAGAAAACTTCAGTAGGAATGGATGAGAAGAAAGCACAGTGATTTTAGAGGATCGGATGCGCTCACGTCGCGGGTCGTATGGAGGATGGGGGGGGGGGGGGGGGTGAAGCAGTCGAGCGAAGCCCATTCTGTCCTTAGAACTGAGCCTTGGTTGAGGGAACGGATTCTAAGGTACGAGGTGAGCAATTTGTTTTCTACCTGACGATTTTCCCTCGCGCTCAGTCTTAGCGTCATCTGTCATAGACCCTGCCTAGAATGTTACCCCTAAGGACATGAGCACCGCGATCATCAAAATATATATGTAATTGGCAAACATTACATTATCTCAATAAAAACTCCTGATTTAGTTTCTCACTCGCTTTGGCGATGGTGGTGGCACTTCCGTGGAGGTACTCTCTCTCATTTCTTTGCGCTCAAATCTCATCACACCCACCACTGCATTCAAATCTCTGCGCGCGGAAAGTCATTTCAAACCGCAGAATTGTGTGAAGTTTATCTCTCTTACACTTAGACGTGTTAAATTCTATTTATTTATCTATTTTTATTGCAGAGCCCGCGAAGCCTTGTCTCATCTCACCGCCGCGCATCCCACCGCGGAATTGCCGCGCGCAAGCCCGGACGAGCCAAAAGTCCCGCATCTGCACTGGATACCTCCACGTCAATTTGATCGCCATTAGGTAGAACGGACGTCCTGTTTCTTAAAAAACTCTCATCAAATATCCGAATGGCTTTTTCTCATTGTTTTCACGAATTTGGCTCGTGCTCTTCAAAAATTTCCGAACCTTCTTTAACATTGTTCGTTTACATTGAAGAACTCACGGTTACTTGAATCGTGTTCAATTTCACGACATGTTCCCCTAGTAGATAAGCTGCTGCAAGGGCAATATATGTTGCAAGAACTGTGATCGTATCTCAGAGTTTTCCTCAACCCTCGCTGGGCCCTGCTTGGAGCCATCTTCTTCCAAAATGCGATGAGGAATTCTACATCGCCAGTGTCAGTTTTTTTTTTCGAAGAATAAAACAAATGTTACTGAGGATTAGTTGAATTTGCTAGCCTAGACTTATTAGTGGACATTCACCTTGGCCGCGGAAATCAAAGGGTGCATATGATTGACCTCTAAGCCTAATTGATTTTCAAAATACTCAAAAAACGCAACGACAAGCTTCTCAACTCACTTAATATATAATAATTTAGTGAAACCGTCCCAGCATATAAACTGAAAGCATTGTGAGGCAAGTCGAACGCATTTATTGTTTGCGATATTTAGATGACGTGCAAGTCTGCACTTACAGCGAATGCAGTTGAGCGCCTATCATTGAAGATTAGTATTCTAAGATGGATCTTGAAGTTTATGTTTGCGATAAAACCTCCACCAAAGTTGAGCGAGTTCCCTATAATCTTTCTTCTCTGATATTGCCTGCTATAAAATGATTGCACTCAAACATAAGGTATATATTCATCATTTCGCATTAGTGGAGAGCTAGCATATCGACTGAAGATATATTGATGCTGCCTGATTGAGAAATGCTGATCCACGATATGGCGTTACTTAAAATAAGTTGTCAACTGAATAGATGACCCCGCTGTGCAGGTAGATGGATTCCACTTGATCCTAGAACCAATTGACTTCGTCAAACTGCCGTTTATTCTTATAGTGATAATAAATGCACATGTTTTGAATACTAAAACTTGAAAATAATTACAAAGGGTTCATCTCTCTCGTATGAAGTACAAAAAAGAAGGCACTGGCTATTCGCTCCATGTCATTTATGAACCAGTGTCTGGAGCAGAAAGAACCCGGGGTGGTAGACAGGCGGACAATGTCGCGCCCCTTTTGCCGCTTGAAAGTGCGCGACAAAGGCGCAAGGAGCTCGTCCGACCCGCAACTCACACCTTCGTCCGCAAGCCCCACCCTCCGCTGTCGGTTGCCACGTGGCGCTGCTTGAAAAGCGCGGGCGCATTTGAGGCAGCGGTCCCATTGCGACCCAATGTCATTGGCACTGGAGCAACTAGAGTTAGGTTCGTGAAACTCGTCCAACGCGCCCCTTCTCTATCCCAAGGTGGAATGGCTGAAATAGGGGAGGTCTCTGTGCGGGGCGTAATCGGTGGTTTCGTTTGCTTTCCTTCTCTTTTCCAGACCACCTCCCACCTATAGCTTCATAACTGAATACTTTTCTACACCTATTTTAAAGGACGAATTCACGATCAGAGGGAAAATCGAATTAGGAAGAATTCACCTGGTTGAGGGACCCGCGGAGCTCCTAAGTGTGCGAACTGAAGCACAATTTGCACAGAAGGAGTTGACCTCGGCGACCTATTAAGGCTTAATCTTGGCGCGGCTGGCCAGTGCACGCCCACCGATCATCTGATCACTCGCCGCAGGTCTATACGTGGCGAGTGATTAGATAGGTGAGAGAGCGTAGTGTTGAAGAGGGCACAGCGATGAGAGTCGCATCAATGCTCAAATCAACGGGCAAGGAAGGGGTCCCATTTCTCGGGTTCTGGGCCGTTTCTCATGGTTCTTCCTTCTTTCGTGTACCACTCACCATCCCTAGGTTAATTTGAAATGGGTTGCTTTTTCATCGTGAATTCGTCCTTTAAGAATCTTGGCTTTAATTGCTTTGTTGGCTTCCGAAACCACGAAAAATATTTCCATTTTGACATAGTCCTAAACTGTTCCTTACACGAACAAATTGGATGAGGATGCGACGACAACGAAAGAATCGGAACCTAGACTCCACAGAGAAAAATTACTCCTTTCAATATATCTTTGTCATCACACATATGTTTCAGAGTTCTAGTCTGTTTATCAAGTCGACCTTCAGAGTTATACAAAAAAAAATTTGTTGACCAGTTGCAACATCAGAGTTTGTACTGTTTTCTGGCGGTAGTTCTTATTAATTTTGAGAAGTGCAACGATTATGCGCAATGTAATAACTGAAGCCACGCTTCAGGATCGAATAGGTGTGGTTTTCGCACTAAAATGAAAGCGTTGGTGATATAAGGGATATAGGTCGGCAGTAAAGAAAAAACAAAAGAAGATGCTATAGCTATAAGCTGGCACACTTTATGCTAAGACAGTGACAGCGTGAGCACAGAGGTTAGGCGAGTGAGCACAACGAGTGAGAGAGCGCAAAGCCGCAGCATGCACGCAGAGCAGGCCGCAAACGAGAAAAATGGAAGCGGTGAGAGTGGTTAAAGCGGTACTTGCATGGCTCAGCAAACACTGGTGGTGAGCAGAACGATATTGAGAAAAAAGGCAACAGTAAGGGACGACAACTATTACAAATTGTAAGCGACGGAGTTGTTCTCTTTTGCCTCACCTGCTCACAACCGCCAAGAACAAGCTCTTTTCTAAGTTCTTGTTTGTTTTAAAGACACATTTATCATTTAGCTGTGTAGATGTTTTAAAGGCACATTTATCATTCAGCTGTGTAGAGCTGTCTGTAAAGAAGGTAGGAAAATCGAAACTCTGAACTGCCAGCAATTTCTGTGAAAGTGCGGTTAACCACAGTGTGCTAGTCAGAAACTTGCCAAGCCGATTATTCTACATGCATACAACTTCAAGCCTGCGCAAAAGAAGCTCTTTAGGTTCATTCTCTTATTCTTCTCGTAGCTCTGTATGGCAAATTTGGTGCAGTGTCATGCAGAAGACGTACGGATCCTTTTCCTGGAGATCATTACTGGCCAAAGAAAGACCGAGACCTCTGCGACTCACCTAAACAAAGGAACAGTAGTGAGTCAACGTTTTCTTCAAGGAAAAGTTGATGAATTCTTTTTTTAGAACTTTAGCGACGACAGCATTAGGGGTAAGAACGACGACAGCATTAATGGGGGGTAAGAAATTTTAGGCAAGCCTAACTGTTTTTAGGCATTAGTGTACATTTCAAATGGTTAAAACGTTTGCTCAATTCGTACAGAATGCTGTTTATCTAGTGGCACCTAATCATACTTTCGTTTATCAGTGATGCCTCAGAATGTAATTCTAATGATTTCTAGCGGAGTTGTGCTACACTCACATAATTAACTATCAGAAACTGAATACTGAAGTGATTAGCCGGAGATCCAATTCTTCTTATTCTTCACGAATTTATTCCGAAACAGGATGTCGATGAATTTCTTGCTGAGACTCGACATATGGAGATGGAACCCGAGGTTATTGTTATTGCACGTTGATCTATCGGGCAAAATCTTATGACCCTCTAGAATTTTTCAGCAAGTGGTCAATGTCCTTCACCCAGAACCATTTTATGACAAGTCAAGGCGCGCAAACGGAACTGCGATTGACGACGAGGAAACCGTAGGAGCAGCAAAAGTCTTCAGAAGGGCCCAAGCAATGATGCCGTTTATTAACTTCGAATCTAGTGAACTTTGGCAGGTAGAAGTTTGCATTCTTCTCCACGCCGCAATTTCAATCTTGCAAGAGCAAATTTTCAAACAAAATTTTCTGAGCAAATCTTGCAAAACAGAACGAATCATCTTCCTATAACAATTATACATTTCCATTAACTTGAGAATACTAGCATACGGACAAGAATTCATGCACATTTCTTTCGACTAAAAATTTATAGCAAAAGGCTAATCACAGCTATAGGGTATGGAGAAGACATCAGGCCTGCACACTAGAGGAACTTCTGGGACGCACGCAATCTATCTCCATCATACTGAACCAACAAGGTCGAAGTTGCTGCAACTTTAATTGGAAAAGAATTAAGCCACAAAGGTTTGATTGCCTTGTATGCCTGCCTGACCATTTATAAGCACTGCGTTAAATACATTGTTACGCAGTGTTTATGAATATTTGTGGTATGAATGCAAGGACAGTGGGCCTCTCCGACTCAGGCGTTCGTGTTCTTATTAATGAAAAATAAAAGTGAAGAATGACATCATTAAAGATGATTATCATAAGTGAATGTGATTGAACCTTCCAGTGCACAGATGAGTTTTTGACATAATGTATTTCACAGTGGCTTTAGATTTTGACGGACTTATTGTCCAGATTTTATCGTCATGGCTCATTGCCTGACATTATGCCGTGTTCTTTGGCGGGAGGACTTGCCACTTAAAGCAACAGTCCAGGAACGAATTTGCGGGCCAAAAGCACCTATATGGAAGTTGTAGGTGAAAAGTGGTCGAACGTAAAGAGAAAAAGTGAAGAAAACGCCCAACTGGGGCTTAGACAGGGACATGCCCTGCCGTTTAGGGAGACGTGTGTTGGACGAGTTGTCCGAACCTGCCCGTAGTACATGCGCTTTAATTGCAACTGCTGGCAAATAGCTGCATGCTTGCAAATACATAACTACTTGCCAGCAATCGAAATTGAAGCGCTTCAATTGCGTTCTTATGGAATCGACCTCATACAGCGCGGCGGTCCCGCAACGACCGCTAGTCAAGCGCGGACTCTGCACAGCGTATGTTGGGCGATCCGCCTCTTTATGGGTGATCCGCCCCCTCCAAGAGGACTTCGACCCCTTCCAGCGCATTTTAGAGGTAGGTTTTGAAATTAAAGACATTTCCTATAAACTTTAGTTGGGCTGGGGCATGTTTTGACCGCCTAATGACCAAGTAGTTGAAACCCTGCCTGGACTGTTGCTTTAAATTCCGATGAATTTTTGAATGTGGTTAGCAAACGAAATCGCAGTTAGGGCGATTTCAAAGTGATGACGACTTTTTGGAGATTCTTATCTAGGTGCTGAATGCCTGGGACACACTTTTCTCTACATTTAATGATTACGTTTGACTTTAGAAGCAAGGCCTGATTAAGGGGTGACCAACCTGTCGACGACGAATTTGCAACTGTGTTCTCTTTTACTTCAAAGGAGCATCAAAGCGTGAGGAGGGTTTAGCTGGTTTATTTGCATCATCACTTTAATTGTATTTTTGAATATTCATTCAAAACGGCTTTGTTCCCATCTTAGCATATTGGGAGCAGATTTAATGAGATACTCGTCATACGACCAGCGTCAAAGAATTGTCGTGTGAGAACTCCAGACGTCTCTTTCTTGTAATATAAGGAAAGTCACACTATTAGGCTGTCCTATGAGTAGAGTCGTTTTTTTTTTCAAACAGCGTGTTCGTTTCTATGTTTTTACATAGCTTCATATACTGATTTGTAAGAAATTTATTTACTTACGAAATATTATGTTCTCCCTCCTCATTCTTTGCAAACCCGTAAAGTCTTGGGTTCGTACATTGAGATACGGAAACTAGGACGACAGACGAGGAGCTCTAACTACTATTTCCTCCACATCCATCAATAGTGTCACTTATCAATCAAATCGTCACTAATCACTCAGCCAAATTCTCTTCTGAGCATTTCGCTCTAAGGCTTCCAACCAAGACTTGCCGGTCCTTTTCGAACTGGGTTTTTCAGGAAAAAAATTTCCTCCTGAAGTAATGTGGACCGAACACCTTATGAAAAAGTTCAACTTAATTCAAAACCTTATGAAGAATTTCTAAAGTTCAACTTAATTCAAAATGAGAATGAAAACAAAAACGACGGAATGAAGCAGAAAGAAACTTGACGAATTTTGCATCAATTTATATGAAGCAGTGGGCTTGATAGAGAAAAACCTAGTCCAAAAACAGGTGTGGCTCAACGTTCAAGGCTTATTCATTCAAGAGTCGCCTTTCTCTCTCCCCATCCTAACGGCATGGGCACCGCAAACTGTGCCGAAGGGTTTACGGCTAAGTAAAGGGTACATCAACGTCTGACCTTTCCAAGAGGAATATGGAGTGCGAGCTAGTTGTTGTCTCGCTAATCTTTTTCGACTGGACCTTCCATTTAGCAGATCTAAAATTCAGCGACGTTGCAAGGACTGTGGAGGAAAATCATGATTTTCTAGGTGAAAATGAATTTCTTTCGAGCGATATACAAAATGATGCGAAATCGTGGGAGTTTAGTAGAAGTTTTCCCATCAAAAACAACACTACTCAAGCTCATCGGTTCAGTTCCCGCAACAGATTAAAATTAATCTGCGGCAAAATGGCTATAACTGACGCCCACTCATACTTTTGGACCTCAAATTCGGAAAAGGATTTCCCATAGCTCGCGAGATACCTAAACTCACAGCATCTGTTCCTCTTTCCTCTATTCTCCTATATCGTTAATCCGTTGAAAAGAATCTTTATCGCAGCTGATCTAGAGTTGGAATATTGTGTAATATGAGTTGGAATATATACGACATGTTAAAGCTACCTAGGATTTGACAGGGACCGTATTTCCGAGATTGAAGACTACTGTTACTCCTACACCTGGAGACGTGATTTTTTGGATCAATGTCAATGTTGACGAAACTGAGGTAGGTGATTTTCTGCAGAATCGACTGATTTCCCAAACTCGCTTGCTGAATTTTTGAATGAACCTCTTGCATGTTAATAAAATGGTTAGTTGTTCAAGAAGTGATTTTGTGAATAACTTCAATTGTTGAAGAAAAACGCGTATTCAGGCACGCGGCAGTTTGCATGGTGGCTGTCCAGTGTATAGAGGAGAGAAGGTAGCAGCAGTGAAATGGATTCTAGTCGACGAACAGGACATATTTCAATCTCCACACGAAGACGGAACATTTGCCATCGAGAAGCTTATTTATCCTCACACATATTATTACGATACGACTCCAATGTATGGAAAATGCGTAGCTAAAAAGAAGCAAGCTTAACGTTTTCTCACAGAACAGGCACAAATGTTTGACTCATGACAATAAGTAAATGCATTTGAATTTTATAAAAGTCTTCGCTGGTTGTTGATGCGGTAAAACTCCAGGACAGATGTCAATGCAGTCAATTTCTTTGATTTTCCCTAGAAAACATGTCGGAATGATTTTATTTCCTAGCTGTCTCAAATATTATATTAACCCACTTCTTCGTTATGTTTCGTTGTGCTTTTTCAGGAATTGACACGACATACCTTCCTAAGACTTCTTCTGAGCAGGCTTAACATGTTTCACTGCTTATTCTCGGTTTCCAGCCCAAGGCGACCTCAAATCACTAAGGAGAGTTCTTTTCCCACTATACAAGTGCGCTAATCCTCCAATGAATGCGCAATCAACTTTAAGGAAGAGGTCGTTACTCGGTCTGGGCTTTTGCTCTCTTCATCTTTTCTGCATTCATGACACTCTCTCTCTGTAATTTAAATGATGTTGCCTTCTATCATTAAGTTCCGCCACTGCTGTCAACAATTGACGACAACGCGGGGGATATATATCCCGCGCATTGCAGGACATGTCGGACCGTGCGGGATGTACATATGTATATCCCTCGCACCAATTACACTCATTTTATTAGCGCACGCCTTGATTCTTTTAGAAGTTTCTTGTATTCATTCCATGGAAGAGACCTTGACGTAGCTACAAACATAGTGGCCCTTAGAATGGTCACGTATACTTTAATTTAGAGGAGGATTTCTGAACCATACGAAATCTTCATTTCAATAAATTTTTCGTTTACTTTTTCTTTTTATGAATGTGAAGATTTAAATAGTAGTAGAAGTAGATACGGAACCTTAGGGATGACAATATGTGTGTTTTGATTGAAATAATCAACGTAAAATTGCTTTTGAGGTCCATTGCAGCTAGTTCTGAAAAATTTCGCTTTTTCATTGTTATTCCATGTCTTTCGATCGAAATTCCACTACTGTACCCCTGGTAGGTTGTGCTCATTACAATTTACTGATTTGGTTTTGAATTGATCATTAGTTGTGTATTTATCACTCAAAAATCTGCTTGAACGACCTGAGGCGAGCGCGCCCGCAAAATCGCCGCGGTCCCACGTGGCCAAAAAAGCCAAAACTCGCGTTGTCGTCAATGTGTTAACTATCACTCGTCTTTTGAACGCGAACCCCGAGATTAAACTGGTGCTATGAGCGCTTCGTAGTGATGCTTAGCTGCGGAATGACCTGAAGTGGGGAAAGCACGAGAAATCTTTAGAAACGTTGAAATTCAGGACCTTTAACTTTAACAAGGTCGAATTGGTAGCGATTCCCAGACAGGGCGATCAAAGAAGTCAAAATACGCGAGAGAGCACGTCGTTTGAGAGAGCACGCTGATCTCTACATCAATGCACGCTGATCTCACCATCTCTCGCGGTGGGTGGGAAGCGTTGAACGGGGTCGATGGTTGCAGGCCCGTAAGGATTAGCGCCCTAACCGCGCAATTTTGCGACGAAGCTGGAGTGATCTAGGTAGGTACGGACCTTACAATTTCCCTCGCATTCCTACTAGTCGGGCTAATCCCGGGGTTTGCCTATAAAAAAGAGTATCATCGCCCTACCACAGCTCCTCTGGTGGCTACTTTGCTGAATTATCAAAAAATCTGTGGAAAGGTGCAACGAACGCTCAAGCATAGGATACACACAGCTTATTTGTGAATATTATACGATATTTACATATATGAATTCTTAAAAAAACTTCTCTTCTTCAGAAACCTTTTTCTGAAATTCGTATGTATTCGAAAAGACTCTAGACCTTCTTAGAC